GCAGGAACACGGGAGGAGATGTCCAAAATACATTAACATATTGAACAGAGAATTCTTAAGGCAGGTGTTGCTGGAAAGGAATCATCTGCTGGAAATCGGTGTTAACAGGAAATAGAAATCTGATTGTAGATTAGCACAATTCAACAAAAAGACAGCACTGCACAATGGAAATGCCTGACAAGTGTCTTTACACAGAGGGGAAAAAAAAAAAAAAGAAGAAGTCCGACTGAAAAAGTGTGACTGCTTGCTTGATTCTGTGGGTCTTACCAAATGTGTGCACAGTCACCCCCAAGCGACCTCGATGGCTCCCTACTGCACGGTCAGTACAGCTGCTGCAGGAAAATGAACTGAGGTTCTGAATACCCACTCACGGCAGATCTCAGTAACGTTTCTGACGGAGACTGACTGCCCGTCACGGGCAGCAGCATCTGGTGGTCTTCAGTCCCAATGGGTAGAGGAAGTGCTAACAACATCTCCGAGGGTTTCACATCTATGGACTCTGATAAAGGACTTTTCTGACTCTGAACAGATTCTTGTTCATAGAAAGAATTATCAAGTGCAGCAGAATCAGGGGGAGTTTCAGATCCTGGGGGGAGAAAAAATTTTAAAAAAATGTTCAAAAGCTCCTGTGCAAGTTGTTCAAATTTCCTTTCAGCTGACTAGCAAAACAAACACTTGGTGTGTCAAAGCCTGCCAGGGCAGCTGGACTATCTGTGGCTTCAACATCCTGTGGAGCCACAACGACCTGTAACTAGAGGGACGATGCATCCCAACTTGATCTCCTCTTGGTGTGGCACAGAAGAGAACAAAATCATTAACATCACAGTGAACAAAGGCGCTTTGCAAGAAATGTAATTATGAAGGTTTCCTTGAGATTGTTCACCTCAGAAAATCCAAGAACCACAGCCACATCCAACCATCCTCTTTTAACTGAGACAGCAATGTGCAATGCAGCATCTATCATAGAATCCTGGAATGGTTTGCGTGGGAAGGGACCATTAAAGCTCATCTAGTCCAACCCCCCTGCACTGAGCAGGGACATCTGCAACTAGAGCAGGTAGCTCAGAGCCCCGGCCAACCTCACCTGGAATGGTTCCAAGGATGGGGCATCAACCACTGCTCTGGGCAACCTGGGCCAGGGGCTCACCACCCTCAGGGTAAAAAATTTCTTCCGTCTATCTAGCCTAAATCTCCCCTCTTTTAGTTTAAAACAGTCACCCCTTGTCCTGTCACAACAGGCCTTGCTAAAAAGTCTGTTCCCATCTTTCTGATAGATTCCTTTAGGTACTGAAAGGCCACAAGTTCTCACCAGAGCTTTCTCTTCTCTAGGCTGAACAACCCCAACTCTCTCAGCCTGGTCTCACAGCAGAAGGCTGCTTTCAGCCCTTTGATCATTTTTGTGGCCTTCTCCAAGAAGTCCATGTCCTTCTTGTGCTGAAGACTCCAGAGCTCCAGGTGGGGCCTCAAGCAGAGACCTCACACCCACTAGTGCTCTCACCTCACCCTTGCTTCTACTGGCTTCCTGCTGCACTGGGGCCTTCCTAAATGGGGCTTCTCAAGCTTCTGACATTTAAAGCTGCCTCTGCGTGTTACTCCTGTTTCCTCACTCCCTCCCTCCCAATCCAGACCTACACAGACACCTATTATTCCTTTCTCCATATGACAAAGGCAAAGGAATTATGGTCAATAGACTTAAGGGTGGGCAGGTAAGGAGGCATATGGAGCCACTGCTGAAAGAGGCCGAATATCTGAACACCTCTGTGTTTGTATCATAGGCGAGTGATACATGTCCAATTTCTTCCTCATCAAACCTGGTATCTAGAATAGGAGCTAAATGTATTTGAAAAGTCTTTTTAGAGCAGTATCCACAGCTGGGAGCATTTTGCCATCTGTCTGGTCTTGTGCATTTGCTAATCCAGCTCAGACTTGGATTAACATTGACTGCTTATATAAAAAACATAAAATCTTTCACTGTTACATTAAAAATATTCATGCCTTCAAGATGTAAAGTAATTCCCACAAACAGTATGCAGTGTTCACCTCTGTTACTACCCTCTTAGAGACATACTCCTTTGACATGTTCTGAAGAGGTAAAAAATTTCCTACAATTCAGACTGCCTTCATGTGGGAAGCTCTCAAGAGAAACTAGGACAAGAAGGCAAATATTCATGCACAGAAAA